CCACCACCACAACAACAACCACCACCAACAACACACACCACCACACACCACCACCACACACCACCACACAACACACCACCACCACACACACCACCACCACCACAACAACAATCACCACAACAGCCACCACCACCACCACAACCACCACCACAACCACCACAACCACCACCACAACCACCACAACCACCACAACAACAAGCACCACCACAACAACCACCACAACAACCACCACAACAACCAAAACAACCACTACCACCACCACCACAACCACCACCACAACAACAACCACCACCACAACCACCACAAAAACCACCACAACAACCACCACCACCACAACAACCACCACCACAACCACCACCACAACAACAACCACCACCACAACTACCACAACAACCACCACAAAAACCACCACAACCACCACAACCACCACTACCACCACAACCACCACCACAACAACCACCACCACCACAACAACCACCACCACAACAACCACCACAACAACCAAAACAACCACTACCACCACCACCACAACCACCACCACAACAACAACCACCACCACAACCACCACAAAAACCACCACCACAACCACCACCGCCACCACCACCACAACAACCACCACCACAACAACAACCACCACCGCAACAACCACAACAACCACCACCACAACAACCACCACCACCACCACAACAATCACCACAACAGCCACCACCACAACAACCACAACAACCACAACAACAACCACCACCACAACAACCACCACCACAACCACAACAACCACCACAACCACCACCACAACCACCACAACCACCACAACCACCACAACAACAAGCACGACCACAACAACCACCACAACAACCACCACCACCACAACAACCACCACCACAACAACCACAACAACCACCACCACCACAACTACAACAACCACCACCACAACAACCACCACCACAACAACCACCACCACCACAACCACAACAACCACCACCACAACAACCACAACAATCACCACAACAACCATAACAACCACCACCACAACCACCACCGCCACCACCACCACAACAACCATCAGCACCACCACAACAACCACCACCACAACAACCACAACAACCACCACCACAACAACAACCACCACCACCACAATAACCACAACAACAACAACCACCACCACCACAACAACCACCACCACAACAACCACCACAACAACCAAAACAACCACCACCACCATCACAACCACCACCACAACAACCACCACCACAACCACCACAAAAACCACCACAACAACCACCACCACCACAACCACCACTACCACCACAACCACCACCACAACAACCACCACCACCACCACCACCACCACCACAACAACCACCACCACAACCACCACCACAACAACAACCACCACCACAACTACCACAACAACCACCACAACAAACACCACAACCACCACTACCAACACAACCACCACCAAAACAACCACCACCACCACAACAACCACCACCACCACAACAACCACCACCACAACAACCAAAACAACAACCACCACAACCACCACCACCACCACCACCACAAGCACCACCACAACCACCACCACAACAACAACCACCACCACAACAACCACAACAACCACAACAACCATCACCACAAGAACCACCACCACCACCACAACAATCACCACAACTGCCACCACCACCACCACAACCACAACAACCACCACAACCACCACCACAACCACCACAACCACCACAACAACAAGCACCACCACAACAACCACCACAACAACAACCACAACAACCACCACCACCACAACCACAACAACCACCACCACAACAACCACCACCACAACAACCACCACCACCACAACCACAACAACCACCACCACAACAACCACCACCACCACAACAACCACAACAACCACCACAACAACCATAACAACCACCACCACAACCACCACCGCCACCACCACCACAACAACCATCACCACCACCACAACAACCACCACCACCACCACCACAACAACCACCACCACAACAACGACCACCACAACAACCACAACAACCACCACAACAGCCACCACCACAACAACCACAACAACCACAACAACCACCACCACAACAACCACCACCACAACCACAACAACCACCACAACCACCACCACAACCACCACAACCACCACAACCACCACAACAACAAGCACCACCACAACAACCACCACAACAACCACCACCACCACAACAACCACCACCACAACAACCACAACAACCACCACCACCACAACCACAACAACCACCACCACAACAACCACCACCACAACAACCACCACCACCACAACCACAACAACCACCACCACAACAACCACCACCACCACAACAACCACAACAACCACCACAACAACCATAACAACCACCACCACAACCACCACCGCCACCACCACCACAACAACCATCAGCACCACCACAACAACCACCACCACCACCACAACAACCACCACCACAACAACCACCACCACAACAACCACAACAACCACCACCACAACAACCACAACCACCACCACCACAACAACCACAACAACCACCACAACAACCATAACAACCACCACCACAACCACCACCGCCACCACCACCACAACAACCATCAGCACCACCACAACAACCACCACCACCACCACAACAACCACCACCACAACAACCACCACCACAACAACCACAACAACCACCACCACAACAACCACAACAACCACCACCACAACAACAACCACCACCACCATAACAACCACAACAACAACAACCACCACCACCACAACAACCACCACCACAACAATCACCACCACAACAACCACAACAACCACAACAACCACCACCACAACAACCACAACAACCACCACCACAACAACAACCACCACAACAACAACCACCACCACAACAACCACCACCACCACCACAACCACCACAAAAACCACCACCACCACAACAACCACCACAACAACCAGCACAACAACAACCACCACAACAACCACAACAACCACCACCACCACAACAACCACCACCACTACAACAACCACCACCACCACAACCACCACAACAACCACCACCACAACCACCACCACAACCACCACAACAGCCACCACCACAACAACCACAACAACCACAACAACCACCACCACAACAACCACCACCACAACCACAACAACCACCACAACCACCACCACAACCACCACAACCACCACAACCACCACAACAACAAGCACCACCACAACAACCACCACAACAACAACCACCACCACCACAACAACCACCACCACAACAACCACAACAACCACCACCACCACAACCACAACAACCACCACCACAACAACCACCACCACAACAACCACCACCACCACAACCACAACAACCACCACCACAACAACCACCACCACCACAACAACCACAACAACCACCACAACAACCATAACAACCACCACCACAACCACCACCGCCACCACCACCACAACAACCATCAGCACCACCACAACAACCACCACCACCACAACAACCACCACCACAACAACCACCACCACAACAACCACAACAACCACCACACAACAACCACAACAACCACCACCACAACAACAACCACCACCACCATAACAACCACAACAACAACAACCACACCACCACAACAACCACCACCACAACAATCACCACCACAACAACCACAACAACCACAACAAACCACCACCACAACAACCACAACAACCACCACCACAACAACAACCACCACCACAACAACCACCACCACAACAACCACCACCACCACCACAACCACCACAAAAACCACCACCACCACAACAACCACCACAACAACCACCACAACAACAACCACCACAACAACAACCACCACAACAACCACAACAACCACCACCACCACAACAACCACCACCACTACAACAACCACCACCACCACAACCACCACAACAACCACCACCACAACCACCACCACAACCACCACAAGAACCACCACCACAACAACCACCACAACCACAACAACCACCACCACCACCACAACAACCACCACCACCACAACCACCACAACAACCACCACCACAACCACCACCACAACCACCACAACAACCACCACCACAACAACCACCACCACCACAACAACCACCACAACCACAACATCAACAACAACCACAACAACCACCGCCACAACCACAACAATCACCACCACCACAACAACCACCAACACCACCACAACAACCACCAACACCACCACAACAACCACCACCACAACAACCAGCACCACCATAACCACCACCACCACAACAGCCACCACAACAACCACCACCACAACAACCACAACAACAACCACCACAACAACCACCACCACCACAACAACCACCACAACAACCACCACAACAACAACCACCACAACAACAGCCACCACAACAACCACAACAACCACCACCACCACAACAACCACCACCACAACAACCACCACCACCACAACCACCACAACAACCACCACCACAACCACCACCACAACCACTACAACAACCACCACCACAACAACCACCACCACCACAACAACCACCACAACCACCACCACAACAACCACCACCACAACAACCACCACCACCACAACAACCACCACCACCACAACCACACAACAACCACCACAACAACCACCACCACAACAACCACCACAACAACCCCCACCACAACCACAACAACAACCACCACCACCACAACCACCACAACAACCACCACCACCACAACAACCCCCACCACAACCACAACAACAACCACCACCACCACAACAACAACCACCACAACAACCACCACCACAACCACCACCACAACCACCACCACAACAACCAGCACAACCACCACCACCACCACCATCACAACAACCACCACCATAACCACCACCACAACCACCACCACAACAACCAGCACAACCACCACAACCACCACCACCACAACAACCACCACCACAACAACCACCACTACAACAACCACAACAACCACCACAACAACAACTACCACCACAACAACCACCACCACCACAACAACCACCACCACAACAACCACCGCAACAACCACAACCACCACAACAACCACCACCACAACAACCACCACCACCACAACAACAACCACCACAACAACCACCACCACCAGAACAACCACCACCACAACCACCACCACCACAACAACAACCACCACAACAACCACCACCACAACCACCACCACCAGAACAACAACCACCACAACAACCACCACCACCACCACCACAACAACCACCACCACAACAACCATAACAACAACAACCACCACCGCAACAACCACCACCACCACAACCACCACCACAACAACCACCAGCACCACCACAACAACCACCAGCACCACCACAACAACCACCACCACCACAACCACCACCACCGCAACAACCACCACCACCACAACCACCACCACCACAACAACCACCACAACAACCACCACCACAACAACCACCACAACAACCACAACAACCACCACCACAACAACCACAACAACCACCACCACCACAACCACCACCACCACAACCACCACAACAACCACCACCACAACAACCACCACCACCACAACAACCACCAAAACAACCACCACCACCACAACACCCACCACCACAACAACCACCACAACAGCAACCACCACCACAACAACAACCACCACAACAACCCAACAACAACCACCACAACAACAACCACCACAACAACCACCACCACAACAACCACCACAGCAACAACAACGACCACAACAACCCCAACAATAACCACCACCACAACAACCACCACCACAACAATCACCACAACAAGAATCACCATTGGCGCGAGCCAATCACCTATAAGAAACCTATAAAAACCTATAAGATTATTTAGGGGCATGACAGAATAGATAGTGGGAGACTATCTCCCCTGGTTGGAGAAACTATAACCAGGAATCACAGTCTTAAAATTAGGAGTAAGCCCTTTCGCACTGAGTTGAGGAAAAACTTCTTCACTCAGAGGAGATAGTGAATTCATGGAATTCTCTGCCCCAAAGAGTTGTAGATGCTCAGTTCTTGAACATATTCAAGACTGAGATTGATAGATTTCGTGTGGATGAAGGGATTAAGGGATTAAGGCCGGTAGATGTAGTTAGAATAGATGAGCCATGATCTTATTGAATGGCGGGGCAGGCTAGAGTCGCTGTGTGCCAGTAGTAAATGCCATCTTGCCTTGCTCTCCGTCAGTGCCTCTCTCCGAGCCCGTCATCACCACCAACTCGTCCTCGCTGCTCTCCACCATTGAGCTCCGGTGCCTGGCGTCTGGCCAGGTTCAGTCCTACACATGGCTGAAGGACGGGGTCAACGTCTCAGCCCCCGGCCCCCCGCCCGGGGAATCTGGCCGCCTGGTGATCGAGATGGCAAGACCCTCAGACTGCGGGATATACACCTGTATCGTCAGCGATGGCCTCACCATCAGGAACACCACTTACAGCCTTGTGATATCCGGTAAATAATAACTCAACAATTAGCTGGACAAACAACACCAAAGTCCATCCAGTTCACCTTAATAGATAATAATAATCCTTGCATTCAATACAGTGCCTTATCACGTTTTTGAGACGTCTCAGAGCGCTTCACAGACTATACCATAAAGTGAATTGACTGTGTATTTTGTGGGAGAATCGCGACAGCAATTGCGCACAGCAGCGTCCCACAAACAGCTGTGGGTTGAAGCGACCAAATTATTATTATAATTTTAGAAAGAATTATTTAACCCCTGAAAAACGATCCGCCAATCAACTAGCAATCGGGTTCCTACTTACCCCTGGGTAAACAGAGGCGGGTGTGTGGAGTTTGGAAACTTACCCAATGTTTCGCCCTGCCTGGGAATCGAACCTAGGTCCTCTCGCTTGCGAGGCGAGGGCTCTAACCATTGAGCCACAGGACATACTGTGTAGTGTGACAGACAGACAGACAGACAGACAGACAGACAGACAGACAGACAGACAGACAGACAGACAGACAGACAGACAGACAGACAGACAGACAGACAGACAGACAGACAGACAGACAGACAGACAGACAGACAGACAGACAGACAGACAGACAGACAGACAGACAGACAGACAGACAGACAGACAGACAGAGAGTGTATATGGTGACAGACACAAGGTGTTTATGTTGACAGACAGACACAGGGTGTATATGGTGATAGACAGACACAGGGTGTGTATATGGTGATAGACAGACACAGGATGTGTATATGGTGACAGACAGACACAGGGTGTGTATACAGTGACAGACAGACACAGGATGTGTATATGGTGACAGACAGACACACAGGGTGTGTATATGGTGACAGACAGACACAAGGTATATATTGTGACAGACAGACACAGGGTGTATCTGGTGATAGACAGACACAGGGTGCGTATATGGTGATAGACAGACACAGGATGTGTATATGGTGACAGACAGACACAGGGTGTATATGGTGACAGACAGACACCGGGTGTATATGGTGACAGACAGACACAGGATGTGTATATGGTGACAGACAGACACAATGTGTATATGGTGACAGACAGACACAGGGTGTATATGGTGACAGACAGACACAGGGTGTAGAGTGACACAGACTGTCTTGCTCCCTGTAGGCATGTCTCCGCTGGCTCAGGCCTGCCTGCTCCTGGCAGTGGTGGCTGTGCTGCTGATGGGCACCCGTTGGCCGGTGCTGGTCTGGGAGCAATGTGCTCAGAGGCAGAAAGGTACAGCACCTCAGCTCTCTCTCCAGCTCAGCATCTGATCAGCTCGGCTCACTGCACGACGGCTGTGTTTGTGTGTGAGTGTGTGTTAGTGTGCGTATGTGTATCTGTGTGTATCTATATCTGTGTGTATGTCAGTGTGCGTGTGTCTGTATATCTATGTGTGTGTGAATCAGTACCTGTGTGTGTGTGTGTGTCAGTGTGTGTGTCTGTATAGCTGTGTGTGTGTATCTGTATCTGTACACGTGTGGGTCAGTGTGTGTGTGTGTCTGTATATCTGTGTGTGTGTGTGTGTGTGTGTCAGTGTGTGTGTGTCTGTATATCTGTGTCTGTGTATTTGTGTGTGTATCTGTATTTGTGTATGTGTGTGTCTGTATATCTGTGGTAATAGACTATTAGTAATTTTAGTTAATGATTTGGACTCGGGAATCAGCAGGACAATTTCAAAATTTGTGGACGAAGGGGAGTAGTTAATACAGAGGAGGAACTGCAACACATTACTGCAAGACATTAGTAACCTTGCTGAGTAGGCATTTAAATGGCAAATGCATTTCGATGTAGAAAAGTGGGAGGTGGTACATTTTGCTAAAAGGAATAAGGAAGTCACATACAGCTTGGAAAATACAAACCTAAATGGAGACCTAGGGGTACCTGGGGACCTAGGGGTACACATACACAATTCACTAAAAGTAGCACCGCAGGTTAGTAAGGCCATAAAAAAACAAACCAGGCATTGGGGTTCATATCCCGAGGGCTAGAAATGAAATGCAGGAAAGTTATGATAAACCTCTATGGAATCTTGGTTAGATCACACGTAGAATACTGTGTGCAGTTCTGGTCCCCACATTATAGAAGAGATGTAGAGGCACTGGAGAGGGTGCAAAGGAGATTCACAAGGATGATCCCAGAACTGAGAGGTTATAGCTATCAGGAAAGTACATACTTGTACTCTTTTCTCTTGAAAAGCGGAGGGTAAGGGGTGACCTGATAGTGGTCTTTAAAATGACGAAAGGTTATGATAGGGTAGACATAGGGAACATGTTTCCACTTGTGGGAAACCCAAACCAGGGGCCATCGATAGAAAATAGTCACAAATAGATCAAATAGAGAAGTTAGAAGAAATTTCTTCACGCAGAGATTAGTGGGAAGGTGGAACATGCTACCACAAGGAGTTGTTGAGGTAAGTAGCAGAGGTGTATTTAAGGGGAAGCTAAATAGGTACATGAGGGAGAAAGCAACAGAAGGTTATGTTGATAGGCTTAGTTGAGGAAGGGCAGGAGGAGGATCATGTGGAGCATAAACACCGGCATAGACCAGTGGGGCCGAATGGCCTGTTTCTGTGCTGTATATTCTAATGTATGCCAATGTATCTGTGTGCGTCTATATATCTGTGTGTTTTAGTGTGTTAGTATGTGTGTCTGTATATTTGTGTGTAGTAACTTTGTGGTGTAGTAACTGTGAGGTGCTGTGACTGTGAGGTGTGGTGGCTGTGTGTAGTGACAGTCTGGTGTAGTGACTGTCTGTTGTAGTGACTGTGTGTAATCACTGTGTAGTGATTCAGTTTTTGTTTCTCACAGACAGTGGGGTCGACCTCAGGCCAAAGTGGATCATTAAGTTGTTGCTGATGGACGTGTCTCTGGTCACTCTGCTCTGTGGCCAGACCTGTGCCCTGATTAATGGTAACATCATCCCTCCTTTCACCAGGCATGATATAACGGTGTGTGACATGACATGGCAGTGCGTTAGCGCTGTTTAGTGTTACCACACTAAACTCTGTCCCCCCCATCACACCAGCCCTCGCCAGGCTCCACTGGTTCCCTATCACACACACTATACTCCTCGCCAGACTCCACTGACTCCCCAACACACCCAGACCTCACCAGGCATCACTAGCTCCCTATTACACAGAGTAAATTCCATCTCCCCATCACACCAGCCCCTGCCAGGCTCCTTTATCGTTGAATGGATGAATTTCAGATCTTCACACTCATACCATCATGCTCTGGTACCTCCCTATCGACCTGTTTACTCCTCAACCTGCTACCCGTTGCCTCCGCTGGACTGGCTCCAGCCTCCTGTTTGTCCATCAGTGGCCGCACTTTCAGCCAATACGCCTCAAACTCTGGAACACTCTTCCTCAATCCCTCTGACTTGTCCCTTCCTTCTCCATCTTCAGGTCGCGCCTGAAGACCTTCATTTTTGACCATGTGCATGGTCACCTCCCCACTCCAACCCCCGGCTCCGTTACAAATCCCTGAATGTCCAGCACCTTGGGACGTCCTCCCAACATGGAAGACGCTGTGGAATTGTACTTTGTTCTGGCTGTTTTTTGAGTTTGACGCGATTCCCGGTCTCTCAGTGCCTCTGGTATCTCCCTCTCCTCCGCAGGCCTCTTCACCACGATGGCAGTGATCTCACTGCTGCTGTCGGGCTCCCTCACGCTGGTCTGCCTCACCACCAGTGTCCTGTGTCTGAGAAGCTTCACCAGCCCACAGTGCCAGCAGCCAGACAGAGACGGCTCAACTCAAAGTAAGTGCAGGGTTAGGGCTGGTCTGGCCCAACACAAACCCAATGGCTCTCTGGTGATCTCTCATGATCTCCTGTTGTTGCTTGTGGTGGATTCCACATGAAGGAAAGCCCAAGCTGGACATGGTGATCGCTGGCCTGACTCCAGATTAATGGCCAGTGATGGAGGGATAGACAGACAGGTGGACAGACTCTTAGACTGACTCCTCCTCACATTTGAACATCTGTCTCCCCCCAGAGGAGTCGCTGTGGGTGGTCACTGTGATGGCCACAGGGGAATGGGTTGTGATCGGAGTTGCCTTGTTTCTGATGGTTCAAGTCATGGATTTCAACAGTAAGTGTGTGAGCACAAGAGTGAGTCGTTTACTGTTTGTTGTGTGATTGTTTGTTTGTTTGTTGGTTTGTTGGTTTGTTGTGTGATCTATGTTTGTTGTGTTGTGTGTTTGTGTGTTGTATGTTATTTATGATTCTATGTGTTTGTGTGCTGTTTGTGTGTTGTATGTTTGTGTGTTGTTTGTGTGTTGTATGTTTGTATATTGATGGTATGTTGTATGCTTGTATGTTGATGGTGTGGTATGTTTGTGTATTGTGTTTGTGTGTTGCATGTTTGTATGTTGTATGTGTGTTGTATGTTGTTTGTGTGTTGTGTGTTTGTGTGTTGTGTGTTTGTGTGTTGTGTTTGTGTGTTGCATGTTGTTTGCATGTTGTTTGTGGGTTGTATGTTTGTGTGTTGTGTTTATGTGTTGCATGTTTGTGTGTTGTTTGTGTGTTGTATGTTTGTGTGTTGTACATTGTTTGCATGTTGTTTGTACATGTGTTGTTTATGTATGTTCTGAGCCTGTAGCTGACGCTGACTTGCTGTGTGTCAGGTTCTGGTTGTGTCTCATTGCCGGTGTTGGTGTTGATTGTGACGTACTGCTGTTTCCTGCTCCTTTGGCTCCTTCTGCTCTCCATCGTCCTGTACACCAGACGAGGTGAGTACCACCTGCTCTGCGCTGAGACATTAAACCGAGGTCCGTCTGTGTCTGTTCAGGTGGACGTGAAAGATCCCGCGATGCTATTTGAAAAGAGAAGAGGGTTTCTCTCTCCCGGTGTCCTGGCCGACAATCCCCCAAATAAAATTCATCCCTCACCTCATGGCTGTTTGTGAGATGTTGCTGTGCGTAAATTGGCTGCCGGGTTTGCCCACAAAACACACGGACACAACACTTTCCTGTGAATCCTGTGAAGCGTTTTCAGACATCTCAACGATGTGATAAGAACTGATATCAAATGCCAGGATTATTGCGATGATGATTATTATAATATAATCTCCTGTGAATCCCTTCTCTGTGAATCATGTCCCTCTGGGTATTCACGAGGGTGTGTAAGCTCCGGGACGCTACCCCACGTGAAGGGCGCTATATAAACACTAGTTGTTGTTGTTGACGAACTGTTATCTCTGTTCATTTCAGCACAAACAGTAAGGAAAAGGAGTGAAAGGAAAGAGAAGCGGACGGCACGGCCTGAGCAGGTACCAACACTCGGGCTGGGAGACACTACATTGACTGACTTTAATATCAAATCCCTCCACGCTCTTTCCCCCCTGTCCACCCCCCCACCCCACCCCTGCAGGCCTGGCTCCCCCCACCCAGCCCCGACCTCAGCTCCGCTAAACTCACATGTCAGCCTTGCCCAGTCGCTCATACACTTGCCTCAGAGTCAGACATTTCTGAGTTCAAGCCACACGTCAGGGACTTTGAGCTCACAGTCTCGGCTCACCCTCCAACACTGCACTGGAGCATCAGCCTAGACTGTGAGCTCAGGGACTTGAACCCACAACCTTGTGTCTCAGAGGTGAGCGTGTTACTGGCTGAGCCAGGCTCAGTACCCTCTAACCCTGGCTCTCTCTCTCACGCGCCTTCTGCTTGTCTATCTGCTTTTCAGCCTCCGGACGGATCGGCAATGATAAAAGGATTCAATCGTTCAGACCTGACGGGTCAGTGCGGGACAGAACAGCGAGCGAGCAACGAGATGGGTTCATTTCTGACACAACAGGGGACGGTCGAGCTTCCATAGCCAAAGCCCCCGGGCTAAACATGGCACTAACGTGCGATATGTTATAACCCTTTTCTGAATTAAGAAATGTGCATTGGATGACTTTCTAAATCATCTGATGCTCTGCGGAAATCTCTCTCCGCCAAGTCAGAGATTTAGAAACATGAGAATTGGTTTTTTTTTATCAAGAGATGTCTTGGGTATGGGATGGGGGAAGAGTGGGGGTGAATTGGACACGATATAGGAACAGGAGAAGGCCATTCAGACCCTCAAGCCTGTTCTTACATTCTATAAGTTCATAGCTGATCTGTACTTCAACTCCAATTAACCGCCCGTGCCCCATATCCTTTGATACTCTGACCTAACAACCATCTATCCACCTCAGTCTTGAATATGTGAATGGATCCAGCCGTAATCCACAGCCATTTGGGAGAGAGTTCCAGATTTCCACTACCCTTTTTCCTGAATTCACTTCGAAATGGCCTCGCTCTAATTTTAAGTTGATGCCGCCTTGTTCTGGATTCCCCTCTCCCACCAGAGGAAGGAGTTTCTCTGTAGCTACCCTATCCAATCCCTTTAGCATTTCAAACACCTCAACCTTCTGAACTCAAGGGAAGGGAGGATGTGTGTGTGCATCTCAATGGTCCAGTGGCCAGAGCTGCAGCTTACAGACGGGTTTGCTGGTTGGTATCCCAGCAGGTCTGTGCTACCTGTTCTGGTCACAACGGGAGGTTAAATTGGTCCCCAGGGTTAGGAAGGGTAAAATAAGCCATGGTTCCTGCTCCTGGCCCCTCTGCAGCAGCGAATATGTGTCGGCCGTGTGGGGAGAGGACAGGCTCAGCTGTCGACTGGCGAGTGTTTGGATTGTTGTTGGCGTTACCTGTGCACTTTAGCTCACGGCTGGTCACTGTTTGCCTCAATTACAATAAACCTTTCTGTTCTGTATGTGAACCCGTGATATTGTACAAACGTCAACCTCAGACACTGGGTCAGTGAGATCCCAGCCACAGGCTGTGTAGAGATGGTGAAGTTAGCGACTGATGCTTCAGTATGTATTTTAATGTTTTAAGGGATTCTACTTTGAACTGAGAGAAAGACAGACCCATCGTAGAGAGTGAGTGAGACACATGCAAACGTTTCACAGAGAGAGAGAAAGAGATAGAGATAGAGAGAGATCCATCACAGAGAGCGAGAGAGAGAGAGAGATGATCCATGAGATGTCAGAGAGAAATGTGATCTATCAAACATATACTCCACACAGTGAGAGAGCGAGCGAGAGAGAAAGACAGACCCTTGAGAAAGAGAGTGGGAGAGATCCATCACAGAGAGAGACACACACATCCCGCACATAGAGATAGAGATAGAGAGAGAGACCATTCATCGAGAGAGAGAGAGAGATGTTAAAGTAGTTGAGAATAGGATCAGTCATGAGTCCCATGATCAATCGTGGAATGAAATCCTCCGGTTAGATTAGCTGAAAGAGAAAATGGCTGGATTAACATTTGGGGTTTGCTGCAAACGCCAAACCAAAGCAGAGAGAATGACAGGTCACTGTATGAACATATTAGGAGTGTGTGAGAAAAAGAAGGTAGTACTGATGGGGCACTTCAATAAGCCCAACATACACTGGGAATCCATCTATGTATATATAAATCCCTCCGCCTTGCCTGTGTAAATACTCAGTGTGTCAGGGAACTATTAGAGTGTTTGCAACCACTCCAAACAAGTTCGTATTCAGTAATACCAATAGGTCAGAGTCTCAGGATGTTTTAATCAAAACAAACTTTAATTATGAATACATGTATAAAAGAGCATCAGACTATCTTAATAAAACAGAGCAGTACTACCGAGCGTTGCAGATTCAGCACTTTGTTTTTACCTCAAGCAAACTTTAGTTCTTCAAACGATCAAGCCTTGTGTTTTCTAGCTTTCAGTCTTCTTTCTCCAAGCTTTCAATCCTCGTTGTTCTCTGCAACCACTTCTAGATGCTCTGGAGTTAACTATCTTACGTAAGTTGGACCCTGGCTTTATAACACTGTGATGAGTACTATACCAAACCTCTGATCAGATCATCCCGAGGTCACCACGAGAGCCTACTCGTCTAATGGAACAAGTCTCGTGATCACGTGATAGTCTCATGGCACGTCTGACTGATAGGGTTGTTCCTAAACATCCTCGTAGCACACGCTGAGTTAAATTAAGACAAGGGTCAACCCAAACTGTGCGGATTGCTGTGTGGACGGTTTGTGGCATTGAGCCAGAACACAAAGATCTTGTTCTTTGAATTCAGCCATTTTACAGCACCTCATAAGGGTTTCTTTTATGCCATTTTGACCAACTTATAACAGAACCCACAGGAACCAGGTCACTTCTTCATTCCAGTCAGTGACTCAGATACTACTCAGGAAGTGACCACAGTTCAACAACACAGTTGAACTTGGGGAAACAGCACCAGCCCGTAATCAAATTGGTCCATAACTTTAGGTGTGGAAATGTCAGGGGGCTGAGGGCTGAGCTGACAGACATGGACTGGGAGGTATTTCTCAATGACAAATCAGTTTAAAAAATATTAGGCAAATTTCCTCACTCCACACACACCGCGGTTTACCCAGCAGTAGTGGGAACCTGGTTGTTAGTCGTTTGGTGGATCGTTTTCCATGAGTAATAATTCCTCTGTTCCCCCCCAAATATTTAGTTACTCTATCTACGACTGTTTATGGGACACTGTTGTGCGCGATTGGCTGCTGCTTTTCATCCACAAAATTCATACTCAATTCACTACAATATTCTGTGAAGTGCTTTGAGACATCTCAACAATGTGATAAGGCGCTATATGATAATACTAGGATTATTATTTTTATTAGTTGAGGATCAATGGAAATCACTAAACCACACGATGCAGTGCACAAAGGACAAGTAATATAGCCAAGTGCAGGAGGGCAAAATAAACAAAACACAACAACAAGGATCAATAGGAAAATAAACAGGAGATAAAAGAAGAAAAGGAAGAGTTATAAATCTTGTATGTTCATCTCTGCAAATATTATTCCTCCCGCTCTCGCAGTCACCTGTGGGGTACCCCAAGGCTCCATCCATGACCTCCATCGTTTCCTCAATTACATACTCCCTCACAGTGATGGTGGGTAAACTTCCACATGTTTGCAGATGATACCCAAATCTACTCCTCATCCAGCTACAACTCCAGGTCCTGGATGTCCTGTCAGCTTGTTTGTTGGACATCAAGGGCTGGATGAGCACAAACTTCCTGCTTGTCCCTCGTCCCCTCTGCTCCACCATTGGGGGCCTGGTGTCAGCTAGTACTCCACAAAACTTTGGACCTCCCTCCCTCAGTCCCTCCGTCTTGACTGCTCCTCCTTTTTCAGAACACGCCTGAAGTCCTTCCACTTCAACAGTGTTTACCGTCATATCCTCCCTCCCCCCGGCTCGGTGTCAGGCTCAGCCACTGTTAAGCGCTCTGAGAGGATACCCTGCGTGAAGGGCGCTATGTAAGTGCAATTTGTTGTTGTTGGTGACAAGGGTTATAGTGAAGTGCAGGAGGGCAAAATAAATAAACAGACACCAGACTGATCAATAGGAAAATAAAAAGGGAGACAAAGGAAAGGAAGATTTATAAAGCTTGTAGTTTTAATTCTGCCCCCTCATCCCATTTAATCCCCTCCCTCCTATAGTCCCCCCCCCGTAATCCCCTCCCTAACATATTCTTTCTGCAATCGTCTCCCCCTATAATACCCTCTCTGTCATTTCCCCATAATCCCCTCCCACCTGCAATCCCCCCTGTAACACCTTCAACCCTGTAATCCCCTCCTGCAATCAGCCATAGTCCTCTCCCTCCTGTAATCCCCTCTTTAACCCCTAACCCCTTCCCCCCTGTAATCCCCCCTGTACTCCCCTTCCCACCACTTTGCATTTTGATAAACAAGAGAGAGAGAATCACGTGGAAACGGGTAAAACCACATCACTGTTAATACAATAACCGGCAGATCGTCAGAGGCTCAGAATTAAACCTGAGATCAAACAGAGGATAAAGTTTCTCAGTGAAAGTTTGGGTGAAAGTGTGGAGATGAGCCATGTTGTCAGCGTTGTAAAATGACACCTGTCCCCCCTCATAGTCCACGTAAACCCCGACCTTCCCGGGTCTCACTGTCAGGGGCAGAGGGGTGGGGGGTGACGTCAGAGCCTCATAGACCCCAAACCACAGCCCCAACCCCCAGACCCCACCCTCTGGTGACCAAGTGATTGGTTGTTTCCTGTCGACAGACTCTGTGGCCAATCCCACAGTCCACTCACTCTTGTTGCCCACCCGCACCGCCCAGTAATGTCTCCCCGATGTGAAGCCCTCAGATCTCAGGACAATGGGATCGTCACTAAACCTCTTCGGGGAGTGAGGGAGCGGCTGCTCTTCATCTCCGTCTCTCACACTGGTCCGGTCCTCACTCAGGATGAGCCGGGGATGGGCTGTGTCAGGATCCAGAGTCAGAGCGGCCGGAGCTGAGAGAGAGAGAGAAACAACACCAAGTGGAGTGAGGGGGTCCCAGTGCAGTGGGGGGGGGGGGGGGGGGGGGTGCAGGAGTGAGGGCGGGCACTAGGGGGCGGTGTGTGAGTGGGTGGTCAGAGGGTCAGTTGCTGAACACAGGACACACAGCCCTGAGGGTGTCCCGCCGCCAGGCCGCCAGCAGAGGGCGCTGGTGACCGTGTGACTGGAGTCGCTGTTGGTGAAAACGCTCACACAGCGCCACCTGCTGACGTCACGCGGTAACTACAAGAGTACAGAGCTCTGCGCTGTGTTACAGTGACATCTCATCACCAACAATGTTTAATTTAGGATCAGGTGAGTGTCAGATATTCACACACCTTCAGTCTGAGAGTGGGAGACATGTACCTGGGCTGATGCTGTGTATTATCTCTCTCCAGACTGTGTACTGTAGAGGCCCTTTGTATATCCCCACAGGCAGATCCCCCCAGACACTGACAGCACAAAACCATCAGCACTGATCCTGAAATAGGAGACATTCACATTATAAAGTGAAACTACACTTTGTGATTTGTTTGTGCATTAAATTTTGCCGATATTTTGTAAAGAAATGTTCATACCTTCTCTTCCGAGCAGTTTCCTCCTAAAGAAATGAAACACAGACATATCTGAGCTCACACTGAAACACATTGCAAACTCAGACACAGAGAATAGAATTCTACAGCACATAATTTACTGTCATTATTACAAGAATGTTAGTCACTCAATGTTGTCTCCAAAGTCCGGAAAGTTTAGATATAAAGTGGTGTTTGTGTGAGGTTATAGACAGGGACACATAGTGAGACCTACTTACAGACACACACTGTCAAACTCAATAACTTACAGTAACTTACCTGTAGAAACAGTAAATAGAATATTAATAGGATTGCACTGTAAGTAGAAGGTGAATGATAACATTCTCCCACAGATGAATAAATGTTGATCCCAGGATAACCACAGCTGACGTGTCCCTGGATGTTGGCTTTGCAGGGACACCGCAGGCCCTGGGAGTGACTGAATGTGGGTTCAGTTCTGTACTGAGTGACAGCAGCAGAGTCGCCATCAGAATATACCAAATAATCATAAAATCTCTGGGCTGTTTAACAGTCAGACTTTGACTTTCTGCTCCAGACTGTGTGTAACTGTTACTGAACTCAATTATGATTTAATCTCTTTACCTGCAGAAAGCTGTGTGAATCTTTTTCCATTTGTTTCAGTAACTCTGAGAGATTTTGTTGAGTCGAATCTAACTTGTCCTGAATCTGTCGCAGATTATTCTCCATTTGGTGTAAAATCTTCTCCTCTTGCTCTCTGAGCTCTCGGATTACACGCTGCTCTCTGTCAGTGAGGCTCTGGTGCATTTTAGCAAACTCTGCCGTGACGTGGTTCTCCAGACTGTTCGCCTGTTCCTGCAAAATGAAGCGTCAGACATCACTCTGCGCACAGTAAAGAGAGACACACGACTGAGAGCCCAGACATCAGCCCCGACACAACTTACCTTCACTTGTGAAATCTTTTGTTTCTGTTTCTCTTTAGCTGTGAGAGCAGTGGCCTTCCTCTGTGTGAGAGAAG